TACACCACAGCACCTGCCCCATATAAGTAGTTTTTGTTGTTGTTTTCTTTTTAAAGAAAAAGAAAAAAGCTCTAGTCTCTTACCAAAAGACTTTGGGTCAAACATGTTTGAAAATTTAAAATGTTAAAGATTTTATGCAGTTGATTCATATTCCATACTTTGCATAACACCTGAGCAGCATAAAGAGAAGCACCCCTGACCTATAGTACTTTTGCAGGAAACATCTCAATATTCATTACAAGTAAAATAAATAAAAACTATAAATAACCTCTTTAGTTCAATTCACATTTTCCCTCAAATGAATTCTGGCTCTAGGCTTATAAAAATAAATAAACAAAAACTTGTGATTTTCAAAATATTTTTAATTTCAGAACTATGGGGTTGTAAACCTGTACAGATATGAGTGCTTCAAGTTCAGTAACCTACATAAATCCAGATGCTTTATACTTGAAGACATCCTTTTTAGAAAATTAATTATTAACTTTAAAAAAGATTTATTTATTTGAAAGTCAGAATTACAGAGAGAAGGGGAGAGACAGAGAGAGAGATCTACATCTGCAAAATGGCTGTAATGGGCCAGGCTGAACCCAGGATCCAGGAGCTTTATCCAGGTCTCATGCTTTCCCAGGCACGTTAACAGGGACCTGGATCAGAAGCAGAGCAGCTGGGACTCAAACCAGCCTCCATATGGGATGCAGACAGTGGCTAACCACCCTGCTCCATAGCTTTCTTTCAACTTTCTTGAAATAAATAACAATGTGTTAGAAAACTGTGTAAAGAATAGGATAGACCAAATATTTAACCTAATACATTTCATTTCTACCAGTAAATTGAAAAGTATGTCAAATTCCTTGAGTAATGGGTTAATGAGATTATTTTTGGCATAGGATATTAGCATAACAACCCTGTCATTATATTTGTTTTAAAAATTGGGTTAGAGGCCGGTGCCGCAGCTCAATAGGCTAATCCTCTGCCTGCGGCGCCGGCACACCAGGTTCTAATCCCGGTCGGGGCGCCGGATTCTGTCCCGGTTGCTCCTCTTCCAGGCCAGCTCTCTGCTATGGCCCGGGAGTGCAGTGGAGGATGGCCCAAGTGCTTGGGCCCTGCACCCTCATGGGAGACCAGGAGAAGCACCTGGCTCCTGGCTTCAGATCAGCGCAATGAGCCGGCCATGGCGGCCATTGGAGAGTGAACCAACGGCAAAAGGAAGACCTTTCTCTCTGTTTCTCTCTCTCTCATTGTCCACTCTGCCTGTCAAAAAAAAAAAAAAAAAAAAAAAATTGGGTTAGAATGTTGGTAGTTTACCGTGTTAGTAGTTTTTTTAAAGATTTTATTTATTTATTTGAGAGGTAGAGTTACAGACAGTGAGAGGGAAAGACAGACAGAAAGGTCTTCCTTCCATTGGTTCACTCTCCAAATGGCCGCAACGCATGGAACTGCGCTGATCCGAAGCCAGGAGATTCTTCCAGGTCTCCCATGCCGGGGCAGGAGCCCAAGCATTTGGTCCATCTTCTACTGCTTTCCCAGGCCATAGCAGAGAGCTGGATTGGAAGCGGGGCAACTGGGACTAGAACCAGCACCCATATGGGATGCTGGCGCCCCAGGCCACAGTGCCAGCCCTGGCTTTTATTTTTCTTGAAACAAAATTAAATTGGGAGATGTCTTATTTCTAAGTAAAATCAGCCTGAAATCTGAAGTCAGTCAGATCTCAGTACAGGCTCTAGGTCCACTACTTGCTGGCTAAGTGGCTTTGCGAAAATACATGCTCTTTCCTACCCTTTCTGAGCCTCAATTCCCACACATTTAAGTTTAGAGTAAAGGTATATCTCTACTAGAATTGCTTTGAGAATTAAATTAAATTAAAGCACACAGAGAGGAAATATCCAGAAGTGATAACTTTATCTATGTTTTCTAATTATTAAAAAAAAATTAAAAGGGAGGTTTTCACCTGAGCTCTGATGATTCAGAGGTAATTACTGATAAATTTTGGTGAGTGTTGTTCCAACATCCTGTACATACATACACATGAAGTTGTACATTTACATCTAAATATGTGTCTACCTACAGAGAGATGTTGGGATAACATTGACCACATGGTAGACAAGGTAGCTCCTTGCTTCTGCCTGGCCCAGTCCTAGCTGCTACAGACATTTGGAGAGAGAATCAATGAATGGGAGTTCTCTGGTTTTTTTTTTTTTTTTTTTTTTTTTTTTTCCTCTCTCTCTCTCTATCCACCTCTCAGAAAAAAAAAAATATATCAAGTTGAGTGAGTGAACTTTTCCAGAGCCAGGCTACAGTGCCGTTTGATATTTTACTTTTAAATTCTCATATTCTTCTTCAAGAAGATAATTGTGTTCTCGCCAGGGGAGCTCATGTGAGTATTGAGCCGAGAGAGCTTCCTGAAATGTGTGAAGGAAAATTATCAGGAAAAGAAGAAAGTCAAAGAGAAAAGTCCCTGGGCTCAGTTGAAGCACCAGCCTGCTGCACCCAGGAAGCCCACTTGGTCACTACCAATAGAAAGGAACCTGAGCTGCTGGAACCCATTCCCTAGGAATTCATGGCATAATAAATGTTAAGAAAGAAAAACCGCAAATTGTCTAAGTGACCAGTTGGGTTATGGTACATTACAGCCAGCATACAATTTAAACCCTTTACCTTTTCCTAAAATGCTGCTCAAGAAATGAAATTCCTCTATCAGCTGCCTCCTCTCTCATTAGCTCTACTCCCTACAAATTCATTTTCTCAGCCGGCGCCGTGACTCAGTAGGCTAATCCTCCGCCTTGCGGCGCTGGCACACCGGGTTCTAGTCCCGGTCGGGGAGCCGGATTCTGTCCCGGTTGCCCCTCTTCCAGGCCAGCTCTCTGCTGTGGCCAGGGAGTGCAGTGGAGGATGGCCCAAGTGCTTGGGCCCTGCACCCCATGGGAGACCAGGAGAAGCACCTGGCTCCTGCCTTCGGATCAGCGCGGTGCGGCTGCGGCGGCCATTGGAGGGTGAACCAACAGCAAAGGAAGACCTTTGTCTCTGTCTCTCTCACTGTCCACTCTGCCTGTCAAAACAAAACAAAACAAAACAAAATTCATTTTCTCTGTGAGATCTGCCTTATAAACAATAATGAGAAAATTTTTTTGTTTCAAGTAATTTTCAGTTGGATTTTTAACAATTACATTATTATTTTAATTACATTAATATTTTATGCTTTAATTTACCTATTTGAAAGACACAGTGACACACACACACACACACACACACACATCTTCCAACTAGTGGTTCACTCCTCAAATGCCTGCAACATCCAGGACTGGGCCAGGCCAAAGCCAGGAGCCTGGAAGATCATCTGGGTCTTCCAGGTGGGTGGCAGGGACCAAAGTAGTTGGACCATCATCTGCTGCCTCCCAGGCATCTTAGCAGGAAACTGGAATATAGAGCGGTGCTGGGACTCATTCCCAGGCACTCTGGTATAGGACACAGGCATCCTAGATGATGGCTTAACATACTACGCCACAAATGCCCACCCCAACAATTACATTTTTGGATGCTTATTATATGTAGATACTATACCAAAGTGTTGAAAACATGACCTTATTTTATCCAAATTACCCTTTTAAGATAGGTGATAGCATTTTTACCAATTTTCTGATGTAGCCAAAACTCATATTAACAGGCCCAAGTTCATAAACCTAGTAAATTTCATAGAATAGGTTCAAAACCAAGTCTGTCTGACTCAACACCCTGTACCTAGACTCTTCAGACTGCACCGTTACACATTAGATTCCTCTGGCTAATGTGTATTTCATTTGCATCTGTGTCTCAGGTTTAACATACTAATGTCACTAACTGCTTAGCGGGTTATCAGTTTGAATGCCTAGAACCATTTGCAAAGCAAAATAGAATAATCAAGTTGATTGCCAGATTCCTGGTAGCCCAAAGAATCAATAAGAATGTAAATGTAAAATTGGTTAGATTTGAATTTTATTATCGTACTCTATTTAACATCATTAGTCATTATATAATGTAGCTTTAGCTGAAATGTCTGCATAGAATAAAAAAAATAACCTTGTCTCATCACAGTCTTTCCAACAAAAGTAATACATTTTTAAAGCCAATTTATCAAATTCTACTAGGTCTTTCAATTTTGAGTTGTGTGATGTTGCAAAAGAATTTCTAAAATTCTTTTCTAGCTGTTTTAATAAAGTTTATTTTTCAGGAACTTTTTAGAATTAAGAATTAAAGTAGATTAGTGGTGAACACCTCTGGTTCAAGAATCAGACACATTTGTTTAATTATGATTGAAACACTTAATATCTTAAAGATATGGGAAAAATTATTTAACCTCTCTGAGTCTTGATTTCCTTTTCTGTGAAAAGCTCTTCCTATACCTTGCACAGTAGGAGTTAACTATTACCAATGTTTGTTTAGATTTTGTAGTTTGTCCTTTGTAAAACAGAATTGTAGTACTTTTAGAGCGAGAAGAAACTCTTGATAATCATTTGGTCTAGCACATTTTCTTTTAAAACCCAGAGAAAGAGCAAAAACTAGTCTGACTTCTGATAGTTTAGCCTGTGACTAAATTAAATCCAGTTTCTTTGTTTTGTTTTGTTCTTCTCACTTATGTTCAATGATCCTTTCTTCGGTCACATTGAAACAGCGGAAATTTCTCCAGGCAGTGACTTTAGTGTTGTTAGTGGGCTGGCAGGAGCCCTTTCTTCTTTGCTTCATGGAACTAGCTTCCTTCACCCCAAAAAGGTCAGTCAACGATAGGAGAGCTGAAGGTTTCATGTGCAGCAGTGTAAGACAAAAAAACCTGTGGTCATTTCTGGTTCCACGCTGTTGTCTAAGTCTTCTGCTGACCTGCTGCAACCTGAGACGTGGCTTCCCACAGTAGTGGACACACCTTGTGTTTTGAGCGCTGGTTAGGTGAAGGTCCTTTGGTCCGACTACAAAGTGGGAGTAGTTACAGTGAGGGTAACAGCACTTTTCTTGCTTTCTCTCTTGTGTTGTAGAGCCGACAATTAGAATCAGAAACTGGGACCACAGAAGAGCACAGTCTAAATAAGGAGGCTCGGAAATGGGCCACCCGTGTGGCACGTGAGCACAAAAACATTGTTCACCAGCAACGGGTAAGTGTGATGGAGAGCCCTGGCCATGTTCAGCTTGTCAAACCAGTGTACAGAGCAGAGTTTTATTAAGGTGGAAAATGTCCTCTATGTGGTTTTTCTTCGTCAGCACTCAGCAGAATGCTGTCAGCTATCTATTTGGAAATTCCTTAAGCTCTTTAGCAGCAACACATCAATTCATCTGTGTGCTATAGAACTGCCTAAGAAAGGCCAGTGGTAGTGTATTACATATGTCAAATTAATGTAGATTTTCATCTCCTCAAGGCAGATTTTTGAAGACTCAATTGTAGATTCCATGAAAATATATTTCAAGACTATAAAGTGCAGAGAAATGAAGTTCATTTTTTCTCAGTTTTGTTTATACCTATAGCCTCTCTTCCTTCATCATGACATCCAGCTTCTTTTTTTTTTTTTTTTTTACTATTTTATTTATTTAATTGAAAGAAATACAGAGAGAGAAGGAGGGAGAGAGAGAGATCTTCCATCTGCTGGTTCACTCCCCAAATGGCCTCAACTGCTAGGGCTGAGCCAGGCCGAAGCCAGGAGCCAGGAGCTTCTTCCTGGTCTCCCATATGACTGCAGGGACCCAAGGACTTGGGCCATCTTCCTCTGCTTTTCCCAGGCCAGTAGCAGGGAACTGTATTGGAAGTTAAACAGCCAAGACACGAACTGGGGCCCATGTGGGATACCAGCATTGTAGGTGGTAGCTTTGCCTGCTGTGCCACAATTCTGGCCCCTGAAGTTTCTCATAATAAAAGACATGCTAGGTCTTCTCTCGGAGTGCCCCTCCTGACTGCTGTAGCAGGTTTCTGACTTCAGTAAATCTTGCTTTGCTCAAAAAAAAAACAAACAAAAATGCTAATGTCCTTTAAAATCTTTGGGGAAAGAATTAAGTAAATGGTGTCAGAGCAGTTACGTATGTATTTAGGAAAAAATATAAAGTTAGATTCTTCCCCTCCACTATATACAAAGTATATTTCAGAAGGATTAGAAAGTTAAGTGCTGGGCCAGTGATGTGGCATAATGGGTTAAGCCACTGCCTGTAATGCTGGCATCCGATATGGGTGTCGGTTCATGTCCCAGCTGCTCCACTTGCAGTCTAGCTCTCTGCTAATGCTTGGAAAAGCAGGGGGAAGATGACCCAAGTGCTCAGACCCCTGCTACCCATGGAAGAAGCTCCTAGCTGCTAGCTCCTGACTTTGGCTTGGCTCAGCCCTGATCATGGCAGCCATTTGGGGAGTGAATAAGCATGGAAGACCTCTCTGCCTCTCTAACTCTGCCTTTCAAATAAATAAATAAATAAATAAATCTGTTTATAAAAAATTCAGTGCTAAAAACTGGAAAAATGAAGAATGTTTAATGTATTACAGATGCCTTCTTTTTAAAAAAAAAAAAAGATTTTATTTATTTATTTGAGAGGTAAAGTTACAGACAAGGAAAGGGAGAGGCAGAGAGAAAGGTCTTCTGTGTGCTGGTTCACTTCTCAAATGACTGCAACAGCTGAAGCTAAGCTGATCTGAAGCCACGAGCCATCTCCCACACAGGTACAGGGACCCAAGGGCTTGGGCCATCTTCTACTGCTTTCCCAGGCCATAGCAGAGAGCTGGATCAGAAGAAGAGTAGCCGGGACATGATCTGGCACCACAGGCAGAGGCTTAGCCTACTGTACCACAGCACCAGCCCCTGCAGATACCTTCTTAAGAAAGATATTAAGCTGGCGCGGTGGTTCAATAGGCTAATCCTCCGCCTTGCGGCGCTGGCACACCGGGTTCTAGTCCTGGTCGGGGCCCTGGATTCTGTCTAGGTTGCCCCTCTTCCAGGCCAGCTCTCTGCTGTGGCCAGGGAGTGCAGTGGAGGATGGCCCAAGTGCTTGGGCCCTGCACCCCATGGGAGACCAGGATAAGTACCTGGCTCCAGCCATCGGATCAGCGTGGTGCACTGGCAGCAGTGTGCCACCCGTGGCGGCCATTGGAGGGTGAACCAACGGCCAAGGAAGACCTTTCTCTCTGTCTCTCTCTCTCACTGTCCACTCTGCCTGTCAAAAAAAAAAAAAGAAAGAAAGAAAGATATTAAACCCAGGAGCTGTAAGGAAAATATTGATAAATGTGACTTCACAAAATTTAAAAATTTCTGTTGAACAAAAAACATAAAAAAAGAAGAATAAAGGAGGAGTAAATACTTGTAATTTAAATAACAGAAAAAGAGACTAATATCTACAAAGAAAAATCCTGAAATAATAATAAGACAAAAAAGTAGAAAAAAACAGAGGCATTCATAGAAGTAGAAATATGAGGTTAAGACACCACTTGGGATGCCCATATCCATATCAGAGTGCCTATGTTCAGTTCCCAGCTCTCCTTCCCTTTCCAGCTTCCTGCTGATGCACCCCCTAGGAGGCAACAGATGACGATTCAGGTGTTGGGTCCCCCCGATGTGGGGGACCCAGACTGAGTTTCTGGCTGGTAACCTTGGCCTGGCCTAGCCCTGGCTAACGTGGACATTCAGGGAATGAACAGTGAATGAAAAATGTGTGTCTGCCTGCCTGCCTGCCTGTCTCTCTCTGCCTTTCAGATTTTTTATGAAAAAGTAGAAATATAGGTGGCCAGCAACGTGTGAAAGGATGCTCTCTGTTAAAGATGTGAAAATGAAAACAATAAGATCACTTTTTTAAAACATCATATATCATATTGGCACCATTTTAAAGACTGGCAGTGTCCATTATTGGTAAGATGTAGGGAAACATGCTCTCACATGCTATTAGCAGAAGAGTAAGTACAACCTTTTGGGAATAATTTGACAATGCCTGTTAAAATTAGAATGTACAGTTTCCACTTCCATGTTTTTATCTGAAATAAATAGTCCTATATGTGTTCAAAGAATCACTAAGCTTTTTGTATAATACTGTTTATAATATTGAGAAGTTTGAAACTTCAAATAGCAGTACAGTAAGAGCAGATAAAATATGATACAATAAACTATTTAATTATAGATTAAAGAGAGTGAAGTCAGCCTGTATACAAACATAAAAAGGTTTCTTAGACACTGTGCTGGGATAATATATCTCATTTTGTTATTTTTTTTATTTTTTTTTATTTATTTATTTATTTTGACAGGCAGAGTGGACAGTGAGAGAGAGAGACAGAGAGAAAGGTCTTCCTTTGCCGTTGGTTCACCCTCCAATGGCCGCCGCTGCAGCCGGCGCACCGCGCTGATCCTGGCAGGAGCCAGGAACCAGGTGCTTTTCCTGGTCTCCCATGGGGTGCAGGGCCCAAGCACCTGGGCCATCCTCCACTGCACTCCCTGGCCACAGCAGAGAGCTGGCCTGGAAGAGGGGCAACCGTCATTTTGTTATTTTTTAAAGATTTATTTTATTTATTTGAAAGACAGAGTTAGAAAGAGAAGTCTGCCATCTGCTAGTTCATTCCCCAAATGGCTCCAATGACCAGGACTGGGCCAGGCCAGAGCCAGGAGCTTCTTCCAGGTCTCCTACATTGTTGCAGGGACTCGAGCACATGGGCCATCTTCTACTGCCTTCCCAGGCACATTAACAGAGAGCTGGATCAGAAGTGGAGCAGCCAGAACTAGAGCTGGCACCAATATGGGGTGCCAGTGTCACAGGCAGCAGCTTTACCTGCTACACCACAACACCTGCCCCATTTTGTTACTTTTTTAAACAAAACTTTGTGTAAGTATATGTGGGAATGAATAAGAAATGGTTTAGGAAAATACACATAAATGGAAAGGATGGTCATTTTATGTTTTTTTTTTCTTTTTAAGATTTATATTTTTAAAAGATTTACAGAAAAAGGAGAGAGACAGATCTCCCATCTGCTGTGGCATCTCCCATGCCACAGTTGGCAGGGCTCCCTCCAGATATCTAACATGGGTAGCAGGGTCTCAAGCTCTTGGGCCATCTTCAGCTGCTTTCCCAGGTGCATTAGCAGGGAGCCACATTGGAAGTGGAGCAGCCAGTACTTGAGCCAGCACTCATATAGTATGCCAGTGTCACAGGCAGTGGTTTAACCCACTGTGCCACAATGCCAGCCTTGGGATGATCATTTTCTTGAGATGGAGAGCACATGGTGGATGGTGCAGGTACAATGGAGACTTGTCATATTGTATTAGTTGCTCTTTTGCAATAACACTCTATTCGTTGTAATATTTTTTAAATTAAGGGTATGCATGTCAAAATTTGTACCTTCCAAACAGGATCTGTAGATTATCCCAGTATCAATTTCTTGCTTTTTATACTCTCCCCTTTGTGGTTTCAGCTTCCCACAATCAACTGTGGTCAGAAAACATTAAATGGGAAATTCCATAAGTAAGCGACTCATAAGTTTTAAATTGCACACTGTTCTGCATAGCATGATGAACTCTTGTGCTATACTACACAGGATGTGAATCATCCATTGTTCAGCACATACACACTTTATACAGTACCCACCGTTAGTCATTAGCAGCCATCTCAGTTATAATATCAGCTGTCATAGTATCAGTGTGCTTATATTTAAGTAACTCTTTATTTTTATTAATAATGGCCCAAAACACAAGAGTAGTGACACAAAGGAGGCAGTAAGGTATAAAACATGGATGGGCAGATTAGCACTGGTACTATGCGGTAGCACTGAAAGACATTTAGGAAAAAAACAGTTTATGTAGGTTTGGTGTTTTCTGAAGGTTTACACGTCCACTGGGATCTTGGAAGGTATCACCCGGGGACTCTGTATTTATATAAGCTGTCACCACTGGGGAAACCTGGGTGAGGAGACTGTCTGTACTGGTTTTGCAACTTGCTGTGAGTATAATTATTTAAAAGTAATTTTTTAATTAAATAAATAAGGCAAAGTTTGAAAACAATCATGGCAGTTAGTCACTTAAGCCTTTTGAATTAACAAAATACTCTAGTCACTTAAGGCAAAAAGATGGGAAGAAAAAAGTGACATTTTCCTATTTTCTTTAATAGGTTCTGAATGATCTGGAAGGCCATGGAGTTGCCGTATCAGAACAAAGCCGAGTAGAGCTGGAACAAAAAATAGATGAAGCTAGAGAAAATATTCGTAAAGCAGAGGTAAGGTGCAGCTCATTGTGGCATTTTTCCCAGCTCCAATGACAGTGTCACAGCTGTGGTATGCATTTTTTTTTTAAGATTTTATGTATTTATTTGAGAAGTGGAGTTACAGACAGTAAGAGGGAGAGACAGAAAGGTCTTCCATCTGCTGGTTCACTCCCCAAATGGCCACAATAGCTAGAGATGCACTGATCTGAAGCCAAGAGCCAGGAGCCAGGAGCTTCTTCTGGGTCTCCCTCAGGGTGCATGGGCCCAAGTGCCTGGGCCATCTTCTACTGCTTTCCCAGGCCATAGTAGAAAGCTGGATCAGAAGAGGAACAGCCAGGACTAGAACCAGTGCACATATGAGATGCTGATGTCGCAGGCAGAGGCTTAACCTACTGCACCACAGCACCGGCCCCAGTAAACATCTTTAAGACTGAGTTGCTAGGCCAGCGCTGCAGCTCAATAGGCTAATCCTCCGCCTGCGGTGCCGGCACACCGGTTCTAGCACACATCGGGGCGCCAGATTCTGTCCCGGTTGCCCCTCTTCCAGGCCAGCTCTCTGCTGTGGCTCTGGAAGGCAGTGGAGGATGGCCCAAGTGCTTGGGCCCTGCACCCACATGGGAGACCAGGAGAAGCACCTGGCTCTTGGCTTTGGATCAGCGCAGCACGCCGGCTGTGGCGGCCATTGGAGGGTGAACCAACGGCAAAAGGAAGACCTTTCTCTCTGTCTCTCTCTCTCTCGCTGTCCACTCTGCCTGTCAAAAAAAAAAAAAAAAAAGACTGAGTTGCTATGCATTTGTTGAAGATGAGTCACCATCTTTATCTGTGTCCACAGTTTTGTTTATTGACTACCTGTTTTATAGAAGATAGTGCCGATGAGTGTAACAACAAAAACACGGAACCTATTGTGAAGAGTTTAAATCACAAACATTTAATAACAGAAGAATTAAGGGACAGTGTTCTGGTGTAGCAGGTTAGAGTTTGCGACTCCACATCCCATATCGGAGTGAGGTTTTAAGTCCTGGCATTTCTATTGCTGATCTAGCTTCCTGCTAATACATCCTGGGAGGCAGTAGATGGTGGCTCAAGTGCTGAGCTCCTGCTACCCGTGTGAGAGACCCAGATGGAGTTCCCGGCTCCTGGATTCAGCTTGGTAGAGCCCTGCCTGTTATATCTGGGGAGTGAACCAGCACATGGACACCCTACTTGCCCCTACTTCCCACCCCTGCCTTTTAAATATTTTTTAAAAATATTTATTTATTTATTTTGAAAGGCAGAGGGAGAGGGAGAAACAGAAAGATCTTCCATCCTCTGTTTCACTCCCCAAAAGGCCTCAATGGCCGGGGCTGGGCCAGGTCAACTCCAGGAGCCTGGAACTCCATCCTGGCCACCTACATGGGTGGAAAGGGCCCAGGCACCTGGGCCATCTTCCACTGCTTTTCCAGGCATGTTATCAGGGAGCTGGATTAGAAACAGAGTAGCTGGGACTTGAACTGACATGTTGCAGGCAGTGTCTTAACCCACTGGTGCCACAGTGCTGCCCTCCGCCTTTCCAGTAGATGAAAATAAATAGATAAACATTATAATAAAAATTTTAAGAAGAATTAGGTCACAATGAAAATACTAATTTTAAATTCTCCATAAAATACATAATAAATCAGTCAAATTAACTGTGGATTAATTGACATATGTGAGGTCAGAGCCTAGAGGATCTCCACATGAAAGATTCCTTGGCCAAGGGGCGTAAGCTGGGCTTTTAAGAATAAGAAATGTTTGGTTAAGCAGAGAAGGGGAAAAGTGGATTTTAATCTTTTTTGATTAAAAAAGTAGGGTAGTCAGGGAATTTTATGGAAGCTGTGAAACCTTCAAAAAATGTACGTTGTGTATATAATATCCAGAGTTCATATACCTAGGCTTATATTCCATGCTCTGGAGGGGAAGAAATTGAAAATGGAAAGCAAGGAAATATTAACCAAGGAAGGCCAGGTCCCCAGGGCTCCTTCAGTTGTGGGCACAGACTACCACTGAGCACTCAGCTCTCAGTCTCGGTCATATTTTCTTGTGCCTTCCTAACAAGAACACAGTCTGCTGAGGGCTGGGTACTCTCAGTCTTTTTTGTAAATGTCCACCTGCAAATCCCTTCACTATGTTGTAGCTGCGTAGATACATATGCATATAATGCACACAGGTCCTCTGTGAGCTGGCCCTAAGCAGAGTTAATTTACTTATTTTCTACCACATTTCCTTACAAAAATCTTCCACTCTAATCTACTGCCACACTTGAAATCCATGCATAGTATTTTCATAGTACATATTTTCTGTAAACTTTTAGAGACCCCTCATATGAATGAATTACAAAATTTTTTGCACTGAAATAAACTTCTCTTTTTAAATTTATCTTTTATTTAATTTCTTCAAAGATTTATTTATTTGAGAGGCTGAGTTACAGAGAGAGACAGAGAGAGGTTTTCCATCTACTGGTTTACTCCCTAGATGGGCACAACAGCCAGGGCTGGGCTGATCCCAAGCCAGGAGCCAGGAGTTTCCTCCAGGTCTCCCATGCAGGTGGAGGGGCCCAAGCACTTGGGCCATAGCAGAGAGCTGGATCAGAAGAGGAACAGCTGGGTCATCAACCAGCACTCATATGGGATGCTGGTGCTGCAGGCAGAGACTTATCCTACTACGCCTCGGTGCCAGCCCCAAGTAAACTTCTCTTTTCTTTCCATTCCCCACAAAAGTTTTGAACCACTCTTGCATATAATTAATTAGAGAAACAGGGATAGCACAGACTTAGGCTATGAAACCTACAAAGGCAGAAGTTGAACCAAAAGATGAAGATATAAAGGAGGCAAGTTTGAGTTTGGTATTAAGAAATATTTATAACAATCAGCTGCTTTATAGTTGTCAGATCTTTTCCAACAACAGAATAAGGACTCCTTGAACATAGTACAGCCCTGTAAGTGTACAAGAAGATGCTAGGCAAGTGTTTGCAAGGGGCTCTTTAGAAGGAATTCTTGTTAACTAATGATTTTCAGACACTCCCACAGGACTCGAGGTGCTGAGGAAGTGTTTCAGTGGTTGTGAGGTGATGGGTAAGGAAGCTTAGCGTCATGGAAGTGATCTGAACCTCAACAGACTTGTCTTCTGCCCTGTCTAGAGAACCCCTAGTAACCCCACCTCACCTTCATTCCTGACACGGTCTAACCTGCAGCCTCGGCGATGAGGAGGGCAGGGTGTACAATGAGTAAACATTTTCCTCTCTGAATTCAGGGTCATGGCCAAACAACCACCCTGGGGTGCTAGCCAAAAACTGTTGGCAGGCGCTTGCCTAGTTTGAGAAACATTGGCTTGTGGCAGAAGAGTTTTTCCTGTTGTTTGTTTCTCCACACTGTGGATGAAGCCAGTTTCAGAGCCTTGGTGGAGCAGGAGAAATTATTTTGGGACAAGTCTCAGAAGTCTTTGGAGGGTTATGTTCTTATATTTTCCATTTCCAGACTCCATGCATGCTGTCACTGTCTGGTAACTCTACCAAACCCTCCCTCACCCCCAATGGCAGCAGTGGTATCAGGCACACAGAGTCCTCATTTAAGCTGAATGAATGGCCCATTTTTTCCATGAATATGTTAACCTACACTGTGTTAATTTAAGGCTAAAAATATGAAGCAAGGTTCCCATGACAAAATGTCTCACCTCTCCTAATGCAAGTATTTAGGTCTATATTCTAAGATAGTTTTCTTACCAAAAATAGGGGATACTCTAGTTTTCTTACCAAAAATAGGGGATACTCTAAAACCATGATGCTAGATTCATTATCTTGGATTTGAATATCTAAAAAATTTATCTTGCTGTTAATTTTTTAAAAGATTTGTTTATTTATTTGAAAGACAGAGTTAAGGAGAGGCAGAGCCAGAGACAGAGATCTCTTCCATCTGCTGGTTCACTCCCCAAGTGGCCACAACAGCCAGAGCTGGGCTGATCCGCAGCCAGGAACCAGGAGCTTTTTCCAGGTCTCCCACGCGGGTGCAGGGACTTGGGCCATCTTCTCTGCTTTCCCAGGCCATAGCAGAGAGCAGAATCAGAAGTGGAGCAGCCAGGACTCGAACTGGTGCCCTTATTGGATGCTGGCACTGCAGGCAGCGGCTTTACCTGCTATGCCACAGTGCTGGCCCTACTTGCTGTTATCTTAGTGATCTTTCTCTTAATTTCCACTTACCAGACATAAAAATAGCCTCGCTAAGATTAACTGGCAATTCTGAGGGCTTATTTATTGGGGATTGTTGAAAGAAATTTTTGGATAGGCTAGACCACAAGAGCCTTCAAAGGAATTGACAATAATTATTTTTATCGGTAAATTTTTCCTTTTCTCTTCCTGTATATCGTTTGCATTGGTTTTTGTCTTCCTTACTTTGTTATCAAAACCTACACAAAAGAGAGAAATCTTGTTAAATTTCATTACATCCTTCATGTTTGTTTTTCAAAGTCCTGCTAACAGGATTGATACATTCCCTGGTTGCTTCATCCAGTCTTTTTTTTTTTTTTTTTTTTTTACACAGGCAGAGTGGACAGTGAGAGAGAGAAACAGAGAGAAAGTTCTTCCTTTGCTGTTGGTTCACCCTCCAATGGCCGCCACGGCCGGTGCACCGCGCTGATCCGAATGCAGGAGCCAGGTGCTTCTCCTGGTCTCCCATGGGGTGCAGGGCCCAAGCACTTGGGCCATCCTCCACTGCACTCCCTGGCCACAGCAGAGAGCTGGCCTGGAAGAGGGGCAACCGGGACAGAACCCGGCGCCCCGACCGGGACTAGAACCCGGTGTGCCATCGCCACAAGGAGGAGGATTAGCCTAGTGAGCCACGGCGCCGGCCCTAGGCTGATTAATTTGTGACAAATTCACTAGTTGATTAATTCAATAACCTAATGAGAACTTCTGTGTGCCAGAGACTGATGAAAACAGTAGGCATATACTTATGAACAAACTGTTACTTAGCACGATCTCTTTGATTTCCATGAGTTTTTGT